GAAATAGCACTAAAAAGAAATAACTATTATAAGTATGTGCTAGTTTTAATATGGTATCCAGAAATTCTTATGTTGGACCTTGATTGTATTGACTGCATTGTAGAGGTACTAAATGATTTCAGTATATGATGGTGGAGAGGATGGGACCGATCAGAACTTGGACTTCAATTTCTGGGGAAAATGTTCTTCCAAAAAGAATGTAAATCTACATTTTTTTAAAGATTAAAAAAAAAGGAATAATTCTGCTTTAGCCTCCCAGCTGAGACTGTAGGCCTTTGTCACCATGCCTAGCTCTTCTTTAGGTATGTTCTATGTTATCCAGGACAGCTTTGAACTTGTGGTCCTCTTGCCTTGGCCTCTCCAAATCACTGGGAATGCAGGCACAAATTACTATACCTGGTCTTTAGGTTGAACCAACAATAAAACCCTGGCTTCCTATGTGGACCCAGCCTGTGGAGCATAGCACCTTAGCAGGACCACTCTTGGTGGGCCATGACATTTTTAGATAAAAAGAAGTAGAAAGATTTTTTCATCATTTCAGGGGACCATAAGCATATTAAAGTGGGGCCAGCAGGTAGCATGGTGGTTAAGGCATTGGACTTCCACAAGGTTGACTGCAGTTAAGAGTCCTAGACCTGGCAGCATGGCCCAGAATCCCACACTCCTAAATGAAGTCCACAGCCACATCATCAATGGATACTTGCTTCTGAAATGATGCCCATCTGTCTGACAAGCCAGGTCCCTTATCCCTGCAAAGTTCAGGGAGAGAAGAAGGAAGTATATTAGAATGTGAGGACTGGCTCAGAGACATATTTCAGATATTTACTCTCTAGGAATTACCTGTTTCTTCATCACTTAATAATTTTCCACAAGATCAAAATGTACTTTATGATTCACCTTCCTGGTCTGGAGACTACCTGGTACAAAGGACGACACTATTAACAGTTGCCAAGGATTCTCTATAGGTTGGGTGCTATATACTATGAAAGCACTTTTCCTAGTGGAAATAAACTTAGCCTTCATGGGTGATTAAAAAAAAAAAAAACATAAACATTAGTCGAGAGGTGTTTCCTCTTTTAGAGAAAGTATTCCAGGTGATAAAAAGACCGAAATTGTTTTTGTAAACTGTGGTAGCTGAAGCTATCTGGGCACAGAGTTTTCTTGCTGATATGTTGTGACCACAGAGTTCGTGGTTATAGAACTTTACTGATATATTTAAGAGCTACAGGACTACTCAGATTTTCTACTTCTGTTTTCCCTACTTGGCCAGGATACCAGGAGGAGTGGAAGTGAAGAGGAAGGGCTGGGATCCTGAACGGAGGCTCCCCAGCTGGAAGCGTCACTCCCGGCCAACCTGGCAGGGTCCAAGCACAGTTGGTCAGTGTGAGAGGAGGCGGCCACTCACCGAAGGGAGGGCTGTCACCGGCCCGCGGCCGCCATCTCCTCTGACGTCGAGGTCTCTACCAGGTCGGACTGAGAGGGGCTGCTGGGAGGGGCCGGACCCAACCCACAGCAGTCGCGACGCCTCCACACAAAGGCCGGCCCAGGGCTCACTGGCCTCTGCTCTGGCAACTACCCACAACGGGCTTCTCTCGAGGAGACCCGCCACACCCGCTTGAATCGGATGTGCTGGGCGCCGCTGGAGCTCCACAACAGGAAGGGCTCAGGGCGGACAGGCCCTGCCCTGCGCCCCCGCCGCTGACCCGGGGTGAAAATCGGGACCTCTGGGATTCTTCAGAACCGACCCTAGGCCGCAGCCCAGACCTCCCCAGCACGTGCTGCGGGCATCCGGCAGGAGGTAGAACTACCACGGCCAGAAGGCCCCGCGGTACAGACCTGGCCAATAGGAGCGCGCAGCCCGGGCGATGGTGCCGGGACGCAGACGCAGAGGATTCTGGGGTCGTAGGTCGTCTTCCGTTCGCCCGCATAGGAGAAGGACGTTTCACGGAAGGTTCTTCGGCAAGCTCCAGTCCGCAAAGGAAGCGACCATGTGCCACCATAACGCCTAGTAACCATCGCTTGGCTGGCATCCCGACCTCCAGAGCGGTCGTGAAACATCAGTGAGAATATAGGATATAACCTGTGATGAGGTCCGAGCTCTGTCCTCCAGGGGCGTGCGTAGTCGCGCTACTCCCAGTAGGCTCCGCGGTGCAGCGCTCCACCTGTTGGACGCCTGCGCCTATGGGCAAAGTCTTGGAGGGGGGCGGCTTCGCACCCTCCTACAGAAGTTATGTAATTATGTCCACATTAGTTGTTCTGTTTGATAATGAAAGGAAAACTTTTTTTAATTATCTTGCATTTCTTTAATAAAATGTAAGACCTTTTTGCATTTTTAGTTAAATTACTAATTGTAATTCTCACAATATTTGTGTTCTATTGACAATTTAAAATGAGATAACCTTACTTGGGTCATTTTTCCCCCCTTAGTTTATTACTCAGTTTGAAGAGCCTTTTGCAGACAATTAGAATTTGTCAATAAAATTCTGAAAACAAAACTTACATTTGGAAACCAATTTGGAAAGAAGTTTAGGATCAGTCTTGGATGACCTTTTCGTGTAGATCTGCTATTAACTTCTCTGAGAAGGCCTTAAGGCTGATGCGTGTGTGTGTGATTGAGGTGAGGTGTATTTCTACTAAAATGTGGGCCTCTCAGTCCTGAGTGTAGCCTAGTAATTCAAGGGAGATATTTTTTCAGACACTTATTACGCTTCACATGATTATGTATCCCATACATTTATCCCACCACATTTCTTTACAGTGCAGATTCACCAATACATGTTCAATGTAGTCTTTGTGGTACTTTAATGAAATTTCAGAAATTTTTTTGGTCATAGAACTTACAAAAAAGTACACTGGAGGAAAAAAGTGATCCTTCCTATCATCATATATCCCTATGACCAGTCCATGGCTAATCATCCCTACCCATTCTTCCATTTTGGGTTATTTGAAATCAAATCCCAAATACATTTAATCTTCTATACATAATTCCAAAAGACAATGACCAATGTCCAATATAACCTTAATTCCATTATTAAAAAAAATTAATGGGCCTAGTGGTGGTATAGTGATTAAGGCAGCTGGATCCCACATGGCCAGCTGTGCAGTTTGAGTCCCAGATTCAGCAGGTTGAAAAACCCCAGTGCATGTGGATTCATGCCCAAAATCCAAAGAGGAGAATGGAGGAAAAGGGATTGCAGTGTGGTCATTCTTTCTGGGATGCCTTCTCACTTTTTTTCTCTCTTTCTGTCTCTCTCTCTCTAATAAAGTGCCTATAGCAAGTTTAAATAAATAGTAATAACTACTTTAATCGAATATTTAGTATCCCAGTTTGTGATTATTTCATTTTTAATATATTGATCCTTAAAAAAGGATATTACAAAGTCTATACTTTATAATTATTAATTCTCTAGTAGTTGATTGATAATTTTTAGAAAAATAAATCTTTATTGAGACATAATTCATGTACCATACGAATCTCCCAGTTAAATGCACAATTCAGTGATTTTAGTGTGCAGCCATTACCATAATCCATTTTAGAATTTTAATGTCCCCAAGAGGAATGTTGCACCCATTAGGCATCACCGACCAATCCTTCCAGTCTTCCCTAACTTCTTTTATTGCCAAAGAACTTTCCACTGCAGGACAATGCCACATTTTTTAAATGATTGATCAACAGTTGGTTTGTTCCCATGTTTGGCTATTATAAATAATCCTAATCTGGGGGTGAGCAGGTGGTGGAGTGGTTAAGGTGTTGTACTCCCTAGTGGCCAACTATGTTTCAAGTGCTGATTCCGGTATGCATGCCCAAAATCCTAAGAGGAGAATGGAGAAGGGATAGCGATGTGGCCATTCCCCCCAGGGGGTGATTTCTTGCTTTCTGTCTCTGTCTCTCCAGCAAGTGCACGCTCCCTATCCAAAAATTTCTAAAACAATAATAATATAATAATGCTAAAAAAGCAAAACATACAGGAAACAAGAAATGGAAAATTATTTGTTGATGATAACATGTATGTTGATGTGCTTGATTGAGCCAATATACAGTGTACTCTGGATGGAAAATCTCATTTTGTATGCTATAATGTTGTACAGTGAATGAATGTAAACAAATTTAAATTAAAAAAAGAAAATGATTAGATAAACATTAAAAATAATAATGCTTCTCTGAATATTAGTATATAGATTTTTTTGAGGTCATAATGTCTACATATGTTTTGAGTATATACCTAGGAGTAGAATTGCTACATCACATGGCAACTCTATGCTTGACCTTTTTAGGAACTGTCTAAACTGCTTTTCATTTTACATTTCCACCAGCAATGAATGATGGTTCCAATTTCTCCACATCCTAAGCAACAGTTCATTATTATCATTATCATTATTGCCTCAGCCTTTTTCAAAAAAAATTTTTTTTTAATTTATGATAGAGCACATGTGCATGTGAAAGTGGAGAGAGATTTGAGTACCCTCCTCTGGGTCTAGTCACACCATCATCTCCTTCCTCCAGTCTTAATTATTACAGGGTGACTAAGGTAGGGATTCCAACCCCAGTGGCCATGTGATATTCTCTATAGCACAGAATATACCCTAAAACTTCTTTGTATACTTTATTTATTTAGACTCAGAGAGAAAGAATGAGACAGAAACCCCCAACAGATTCTTCATAAGGTGATCAATCTCCAGCTACAGCCAGATTATGGCCACATACATGTCTATACTCAGGATGTACAGGGAGATCTTGGGGCATAAACTGAAGATCTTCCCATGTGGGTGCCAGTTCCTTTACCACCGCACCAGCAACTGTCCTTCAAATATCTTCAGTGAAAATTTCCAACAATACTCCCAGGAGAACACTTGATGACCGTCTATTATATTCACCATCTTTATCCAACAGTCCTTAGTGTTTTCCTCTGCATGCTTCATCTTTTGCTCTTGATCTTTTTGTTTGTTTGTTTGTTTGTTTTCTTCAGTCTCTTAATTCTTATGGAAAAAATTAGCCCAAATCATGGGGCCCTGATGTCTTCAGTGTGGGTTGGCTTATGAGCCTTTGTGGTGTGAAGAGGTCTCTTTGAGAGTTCATTGCTCTGCCTTTCCTGATGAGCTTGGCCTCCTCGCCTTAGCCAGGCTGGGACATTCTGCTGGGGCTTCAGCAGGGTTATGTAGCACTTGGGGATGAAGATGCTGCCCAGCAGCCCTGCAGTGGAGGCCAGGATGGAGAAGATCTCCACGGCCACAGTGAACTTGCCCCGAGCACTGTGGTACAGGGGCAGGAAGGCCACCCAGACACTGCAGAAGAGCAGCATGCTGAAGGTGAGGAACTTGGTCTCGTTGAAGGCATCAGGCAGATCCCTGGCCAAGAAGGACACAGAGAAGGTGCCCCCAGCCAGCAGGCCCAGGTAGCCCAGCATACAAAAGAAAGCAGTCTCAGAACCTTCCTGGCACTGAAGAATGATGTGGTGTGGCTCAGAAGCTGTATCCCTGTCTGGGAATGGCGGGGGGGTGCCCAGCCATACCCCACAGACCATGACCTGCATTAAGGAGGCGACGAGGACTACTGAAGTGGAGGTGCCAGGTCTCAGGCACACCCGGACCCTGTCTCCTGGCCTGATGACCCTGAAGGCCAAGACCACAGTGAGCGTCTTGGCCAGGACAGAGGAGACAGCCACGGTGAACACGATGGCAAAGGTGGTTTGGCGTAGAAAGCAGGTAGCAGTAGTGGGTCGGCCGAGGAAGAGCAAGGGACAGAGGGCACAGAGGGTCAGGGAGATGAGGAGCGTGTAGCTGAGAGCTCTGTTGTTAGCCCTGACCACGGGTGTGTCCCAGTGCTTCAGGAACACCCCAAGGACCAGCACTGCCAGGGCGGCCAACATGAGTGCTACCAAGGCCAGTGTGAGACCCAGGGGCTCATCAAAGGCCAGGAAGGTCTCGATCCTGGGTAGGCAGCGGTCTCTGGCAGGGTTTGAATACTGCTCCTTGGGGCACAGGAGACATCTCCTCATGTCTGTGGGAGAGACACAGGACTTGTATCTTCAACCTGCTGAAACAATACCAGCTACATGCAGGGACATTCCATATGCACCTGGTATACTTGGGAGTGATTCCTACATATGAAATATACTTATGAATGATCTTAGCTACCTGTTCCAAGATGTCTACATTCAAGCTTGAGACGCAAGAAAATACATGCACTTTACATACTTGTCTTCATGTGTTTTTCTCAATAATCAATTTTTTTCAATTTTATTATTATTGTTATAGGACATGTGCACTCACTCAAGAGAGACAGAAACAGAAAGAGAGAAAAAGTGAGAAATCACCTCCTAGAAGGAATGGCCAAACTGCAGTTCCTTCTCCTTCAATCTCCCTTTAGGCTCCTCGCATGATTTTCAAGTCACTGGGTCCGGGACTTAACCTGCTAAGTCAGCCATGTGGGATCCAGCGCCTTAACCTCCTCACTGCCTGATGGCTCCAGGTTAATATCTTTATGTTTATTTCTTTCATGCAGGAGAGACAGATAGCAAGAGAAAGACACAGCCACTCCTAATAGAGCCTCCATACTACAGCCACCATCGCCCAAATCTTCTAGCCATCTAGGATCATGGGCTCACCACACGCATGCCTTCTGTGTTCAAGTTGACCTGAAATCCAACCTGGAGCATTTCATATGGCTCCATAATTGCACAGTGCCATTCCACCTTGGTCATTGCAAATGAGCATTAATGGTTAATTTTTTCCCAATTAGTAACAGCAATTGTTCTTTTAATTTTTTTATTTATTTAAATTTCATTATACACATATACTCAGATCTGGGACTCAGACCACAGTTGGCCATGTGGGAGTCCAGCATCTCAACCACCATGCCACCTGTTGACCCAGCAGCAATTATTCTTATTAGCAACTGTAATGGGCTGAGTTGTGTTCTCCAAAAATCATACGTTGAAGTCCTAACCCCCAGTACCTCAGAATGCAACTGTTAGGCAAATTGGAGATGATTCAATTAAAGTTAAATGAGGTCATTGGAATGGACCTTAACCCTATGAAAGAAGGAGATTAGGTCACAGACACAGAGAAAACATGGAAGTACACAGTGAGAAGTCACCATCTGCGGACCAAGGTAAGAGGCCTGAGACAAAAACAAAGCTGCCAACACTTGATCTCAAACATCCAGGCTCCAAAACTGAGAAAAAATTAATTTCTGTTGGTTAAGCCATCCAGAAAGTGCTATTTTGTTATGATATTTCTAACACACTATTATGGCAATTATTACCAATTTTACCACCCTTCCTCTAGTGCTGACTTTTTTTTTTTTTTTGAGAGGTTTTTGCTATAGGGTGCGTGTGCTTGCCAGAGAGAGACATAGAGACAGAAAGCGAGAAATCACCCCCCAGGGGGGATGGCCACGCTGCAATCCCTTCTCCTCCATTCTCCTCTCAGGATCTTGGGCACGCACGCACACGCGCCCGGCGTGAGTTTTAAGCCGCCGGGTCCAGGACGGGAACCGCAGTCAACTACGTGGGAGTCCAGCGACATAGCCATTATGCTAACTGCTGGTTCCCTCTACTGCTGACTTAAAACTACTGCTCTGAACCACGAGATAGCACAAAATCCCCACCAGAATGGTTGAAACAAAAAGAACCATCAACTGGATGGTGGTGGGCACTATGGTAGGCAAATATATCAATGCCCTGATCCATCGGACCTCTGAATATGTTACTTCACATGCAAGACAGACTTTTCAGGTGTGATTAAATTAAGAATCATGAGAAGAGAAATTATCCTTTATTATGTAGATGGGTCCAGCGTTGTCATATGAGACCTTTAAAGTGGAAAGGGAGGATGAAGGGGAAGACAGAGAAATGTAGCAAAAAAAGAAGCAGATGAGAAGTGAAATATGAGAAGAATGGGACCTACCATAGCTGCTTTGAATTTGGAGTGAGCCCTTGTGGCAAGAAATACAGTAGGCTTCTAGCAGCTGAGAATGAGCCCAAGTGACAGTGCTCAAGGAAGCTGGGTCCTCAGTCCTACAACCACAGGGAACTGAATCCATCAACAACTGAAATAAACTTGGGAGCAGATTCTTCTCCAGAGCCTCCAGTAAGGAGCATAGTCTTCCTAATAGTTTATTTTAGCTTTGTGAGACCTGAAACAGTGGGTCCAGGTGAAGCTTGCTGTACCTGTTATTTTGACCTATAATCACTGAGATATTAAATGTGTGATGTTTTTAGCAGATGACCTCATGCTAATTTATTACAGCAGTCATACAAACAAATACAGGTAGCTATTGGTCATCACCCACCCTCCCAGTGGAAATGTGGATTGGTACAACCACCAGCATCTATTTGAACTGTACATACATTCTCCTGAGTCCCAGCAATGCCACACCCACAGAAATTCATATACATGTCCTCAAGAGACAGTAGCCCTGCCCATTATAGCCCCAGTCAAGAAACTTGCCAAACTTGTATCCCTGTTGGAATGGATGAAGAGGGCATGACAATCCACACAGTGGGACCATACTAGACACAACAACAAGAGAGCTACAGTGACACACAACCACTGGGATGACTCTCACAACCACTGGGATGACTCTCATAAATATCGTGCAGAAGTTCTCTTTCACTCTATACAAAAATGGCAGG